CAATTTAGCAGTGTAAGAGGAATTTTCAATACTAAAAATGAGTATACTGTAATCTTTGAGCAAGCAATTCCATTGCTAGAAATTTATCCTAAGGGAAAAACTAGCAAGTTTTAAAATGCCTTCTCAAAGATGTTTACTCAATTAATGATGGAAATGCTCTATATCTGCATTGACCTGTCCAATATAGTAGCCACTAGCTACATGTGGCTACTGAGCACTTGAACTGTGGCAAGTGCAACTTAGGAAGTGATTATTTTTCATTAATTTAAATTTAGGCCAGGCACAGTGGCTCATGGCTATAATCCTAGCACTCTGGGAGGCCAAGGCAGTAGGATTACTTGAGTTCAAGAGTTCAAGACCAGCCTGAGCAAGAACGAGACCATGTCTCTACTAAAAATATAAAAATTAGCCAGGTGTCAAGGTGCGCGCCTGTAGTCCCAGCTACTCGGGAGGCTGAGGCAGGAGGATCCCTTGAGCCCAGGACTTTGCATTCTACGGGTGTTAGAGTGAGACTCTGTCTTAAATAAGTGAATAGATAGATAAATTTAAAAAGTTATATGTAGCTATTTACCTTTATAGCTCATGTTTATAATAGCACAAAATTAGAAACTATCAAAATATCAAACAATAAAGGATAATTACCTATGGTACACAAACAATGAAATTTTTGGCAGTCATTAAGCATGATTATGTAGGTTTATATTGACATGAAGAAATGTTCCTAAGATTGATAACTGAAAAAATTACTTAAAAGTTAATTTCTTTCAATCCATACACACACACACACACACACACACACACACTATGTGCACAGAGAAAGAAAAAGAGAGAAGAGTTTCGGTAATATTGGAATATTATATTCTTCTGGTGAATGAGATACTAATGATTCTATTGTTTTTAATTTTTCTGTAATAAACATGCATTTATTATATAATAAAAGTTTAAAGAAAAAAGGCTTATTGACTAGAATAGAAAAAGACTCAGTCCAGAGAATTTTTGACATGTTAGAAGACCAATTCTACTATTCCCTGCTTAAATGAGGGTTCAGTGAGGAGGCCTCTCTGGTTTCACGTCAAACTGCACTGTTGTTTTTTTGTTGTTGTTTGTTTGTTTTTGTACAGATCCTGGAGCAGTGGCTTGCTCTGCGCCCTCCTAACCCAAAGAAGCCAACATAAGGAGTAGTGAGACGATTTTATGTTTAGGTGCCAACACTTTAACTTTCCTGACTCTCCTGCTAAGGAGACGAAAACACCCAGACACTTCAAGGACTATATATAGGGTAAGCGTTGACACTAATATCCTGAGTCTCACAGTACCAACATGCCCCCTGTCAGAGCTTAATCTAGACCTGAATTAAGTCTCTGAACTGGAAAAGCTTTGTCAAGAAGCCCAAGCTGAAATTGCCTTTATTCCACTGTGTAAATTGTCACCTCCTTACAGGTGAAGCAGTCGGGTTTTATCCTACATTAAGTACTTTCCACCAATTCCCTTGGGCAGAGGGAGCAGAAGAGCTGCTCCATTTTCAGTGCTTCCCTAAATGCAAACATAACAAACATTCCACGCAAAGGTAGTTGTGTGTGGTGAATGGGGGGGAGTCAACAGCTGCAGATGCTTTTCAGCCATTCTCAGCTTGTGGAGAGCTTTTCTCTACTGGAGCTATTATACAAAACCTGGCAGATGCCATGCCATGCCAGCCAGGGGCGGCTGCATGCATTACCCTGCCTCAAGGGGCCACAACCGGTAATATCTAGCAACTCTTTCTTGATCCGTTGGCGCATAAGACCTTGAGGGTAAACTCAACAGTAAACAATATTCAAACACCTACTAGGTAGGTGACTCCCCCAGGCCACAAAGTGGTTCCTCTGAAGGGCAGCCTTAATGCAAAGGGTTTATCAAATGCCTTTGTTCCCCCTGAAGCACAAATAGCTATATCCTGAATTATAATAAAAATGGTGTTAAAATTCTGCATTTTAACATGTGTACATGTAAACACTCCTCCATTAATCACAGGCACTCTCAGGTTATAAGAGTCCCCCCCAAGCCCCTCTTGAGAAATCTGTCAATGGTGATTCTGTAATTACCCTTTCCCTCCGTTAACGACCTTTGTAAAAATGCTGAACTTACAGGAAAAAATGCAGCAACGAAACAGCCTCTCTTTTTCTGTCTGCTTTATTATGTAGTTAATAGATTCATGGAAGTACTAATAAACTGAATAAAGGTTTGAATACACAACAACATGCTATACATAGCCCAGGCCCAAGCCTTCTGAAATTTTCAAACAGTGAGCAAAACTGATGTTAGCAACATGCCAACAAGGATGTAACTGTAAAATCCTACAAGAAAAAAAAAAAAACCCTAAACAGGAAATACTGTGTATTTATTCAGTTTAGTGGGTTTTCCAAGCTCTAGTGAGACATACACCCGAGGAAAGCTTGACTTGCTGCAGCAATGACTCCATCTCATATTGAAGCCCTAACGTATCTTAGGTTTATAGCAGCAAGTGTAAATCCTACCTCAGCTGTCCCTTAAAACACATGGGGCTTAAATAAGAATCAGAAGTTACGGCAGCAGCTGCAACATGGTCCCCTCACTCTCCCACTACCCATGGCATTACTAACTTTCGTTAACAGCTCTTTGTGTCAGAAAAGCAGGGGCAGGGAGAGTCATTTAGGACGATACACTCCATTTAAGACTGTTTCCTTATTTTTAATTGACTGCTTACAAACAGCCTTCACTAAAGCTCTATCTAAAATTGATTTGTGTGCATAATCTGGGTGTCCCTATTGACAAACACACACAGATCCAACCCTGATTGGAACTAATGAAAACAAATGAAGAAAAAGGTCATCCACATTTCCTTATCATTACAGGGCATCTAGCACTGTGCCTTGCACATACTGGGGGCTCAACAGATGGATTGATTTAGATTACTAGAATTTGTTCTCCCCCACTGCCAAAATCTCATGGTGGATCACATACTAGAGTAACAAGTAAACATCAGCCCTCTGCACTGCCTGGTACAAATGCTAAAAATTAGTGACTTTGATCTCAAGTAAGCTGGGCTGACAAGGGAACCCTGGCCACAGGCAGTATATCCCGGAAGAGCCCCCTCCCAGTAACAGGAAGGAGCCGCTGCACCTGTGCTGCACAAATTCTTTTTACAACCTAAAAACCTGGGGAAGAATGCTAATGTTAACTTTTCGCTGCTGAGGGTGGCAGGTCAAGTGCTGGTCAAATCCCAGTGGAGGTTTGCTGTGTCCCATTCATTCTCTTGAGACATTTGTCCACCTACTGCTACCTTCACATGATGTCGCAGAAGGCCAGCGGTACCTGCTCAAGGAAGGGTTTCTTTTCCCCTGAATTTAGGAAAGTGTTCCCTGTGCTGGGCAGATTGAATCACTTGTTAACAACACCCAAGATGAGAGCTCTGGTGTAAATGCTCTGCTCACAGCTTGCCTTCCTCTCTTAACTGGCTGTGATGACAAGCGAGGCTCCAATCTGATCCCAACAGGTCCTCACTCCAAAATCAGAGTGAAAGACACAATAAGCCAAGTCCATTAAAACAACATTAAAGGTCTGGGTTTAGCTCCTCTAAACAGCAGGATTAAACTTTCAAGGGTCCAGCCATGATAAAGAGATTTCTTTAAAGTCACTTGGCTTTATACAGTTGTAGCTATTAGGGATCAGATCTGTATCTCAAAGGTACACAGTTTACCTTTGATCCTCCTCCAGAACTCCCACTAATGTCAACTTTCTCCACTGTTGGGATCAGGCCCCTGGCCTCTCTTTTAATGTTGGTTTTATTGCTGATTCTACAAAATCAACAGAAAAATTACAAGGAAAAGCTGTGAAGTTCCCTTCCGATGACAAGTTGTTTTAACAAAAAGAGCCCTCTCTTAAATGGTGAAATTGAAACACAGCAAACCACACGCTGTAAGATGGAGTGAGACAAAAACAACAACACCCCCCCAAAAAAAAACTAAGTGACAAAACAAACGCTAATTAACTAGCCCAACTGCTTATTTAGGGTTTGTTCTCTAGTCCAGGAAACTGGCAACCAGTGTCTTGAAAACAGGAGAAGGGACAAGTGCCCGTTAGCACCCCTCCGCTTTCCTCCAGAGTCAGAAAATCCCGATAAAGCTGAGGGTATGCTGGGAGCGTTCCCAAGGGGTCAGCGCGCTTTCAAATCCACATCCCCCAGAGGAGGGGGCTCTGACCTCAGGTCCTCCAACCCTGGACTGGCACACCCCGTTTTCCCCCAAATCCCCTTGCCTCTGGAGTGTTCGCGGGGCCCAGAGGACATCCTCGCCGTGTGGCGGGCGACCCCGCGCCCACTCTCCTTCAGAACCCCGTTGTTTCCAGTCGCCTCCCTCTACGGCAGCAGCAGCACCCGTTCAACACCCATCACCACCCTCTCTCTCCCCAGTTGCAGGAGGAAGTCGCTCTGCTTCCTCTGTTCTCACCTCCCGCCAGAGCTTGAGCGCCCGGGGCTTTTTGGGTGGGGCTTTTTGTGTACATGGTGAGTGTGTGCGCGTGTGTGCAACCGCGCGAGTGTGTGTGTGCAAAACGCTCATCGCATCCTTCCGCCTAGGCTGCCTCAGGTGCCCGCAGGAGGGCTTAGGGACCTCGTCGTGCCCTCGCCCCTGGCTCTTTGTGCGCGGTCCAGGGCAGCTCGAGGTCGGCTCCCTAGCTCACACCCCCGGCCTCGACCCAGGCCCGGAGCCCCAACCTCTCCGCAGTCGTCCCAGCCAGGGTTTGCCCGTCGGCTTCCACCCCGCCGCACGCCCGGCAGCCGGGAACGCTGTCAGCGGGCGCCTGGGACTCGGATCCCAGCGAGCGGCTGCCGGTGCGAAAACTTACTGGAGCGGAGAAAGAGCGCGCGGCGCGCCGGGCGACTGCCCAGCGTCGCTCTTGGCCCCGGCCCCCGCGCGCGGGAACCCACCGCGTCGCTCCCGCCTGGAGCGCGTCCCCCCGGACGCCCAGTCCACACGGCCACTCACCAGCACCACGGAACCCCGCACGGCCTCCGACACACTCTGCCGGAGCTCAGCGGCCGTGCCGGGCTTGCTGAGCCGCTTGGTGAATTTGCGCACTTCGGCCATGGCAGCGGCGGCGGGCAGGTCTCGGCGGGCGTACTCACTGCCCCGGGCCGGGGCGGCCGCGGCCGCTGCTGCTCCTTCTGTTTACACGCCGGCCGGCCGGCCACATCGCAGCTCGGTGGCGGCGCGGCTAAAGCTGCTCCTCCCTCCCCCCCGCTGCTCCTCCCTCGTTCCCTCGTTCCCTCGTTCCCTCCTTTTCTCGCCGGCTTTGCTCGCTCACTGCCTTGCCCCGCAGCGTCGGCGGCGGCAGCTCCCTCCCCTAGAGGGCCTGAGCGCTGAACGCTGCCAGCCGAAGAAGGAGGGTGTGTCTGACGGGGAAGGGTGTGTGGAGGGGGAGGGAGAACTGGAGGTGGGGGCGAGGGTCACGAGGGAAGAGGGGGGAAGTGGTAACTGCTAGGGCTCCGCCCGCAGCTGATGTTGCTGGTGCAGCCGCATCCGGGAGGGGAGATCTGCCTGCTTTTTTTTTTTTTTTGCTTGTATGGGGCGGGAGGGGGGGACGGAGAGGGGTGATGAAATGTCTCCAAGAGTGGGGCGTGTTCTTCCCCAGTGCTTCTCTCCCCACCACCCCCCAAAGCTGCAGTGCCCGAAGCAGCGCTGGGGATCTCTCCCGTCCCCCCACCCCGCAAGCCCCCAGGGCCCGGGCGGCTAGGGGCTGGGAAACAACGTGGAGCAGCCACCTATTGTGTACTCCGCTGGGAAGAGTTGCGCCGTTGTCAAAGGAGGCAGAGCGGTTCTGGCCCGAGCGTCTCTCCTAGATCCCCCTCCTTGCCCACGCTGTTTTCTCACCCAGTCTGCCCACCTTACTGAGGCAACCCTATGGAAGGAGCATGCTTTGAGAAGTGGGCATTTCCTACGGCAGCACCCCTGGCCCTCGCAGGGGAGAGCTGGGTGGTGGGGCCTGAGCCTGTGGCAGGTGGTCTAGTTCCACAGTGACTGCACTAGGGGTAGGGTGGAGTGGCGTTCAGAAGGCCATCTCCCGGGTTTGGAGGACCTGACAATCTTCTAGAAGCTTTTACATGTGCCCTGTACTCACTTCTCCATTTCCTACTCCTTATCCTCTTCAGCTTCCAAGAAGTTGTTTTTCCAAGAATCAAAGACCATCTAAGTAGGTGTAAAACAAACATGCTTAAGACAAATAAACTCCTAAGGATAGATTCCTATCCTTACGAGTTTATTTAAGTGCAAAGTGAGAAACTCCACTGCTGGGGGCAGTTTTCTATCTGGTTACTTCATTTGTTGACAGTTTGAAAATGGGCCAAAAGTAATCTAGGAAACCAAGCAGCCTTCTGTGAGGATCCCCACCACCAACAGCAGGGCACTTTCCCCACCCTCAAAGACCAGTCACACCTACAGAGGGGACTTTGTTACGGAAACAAGGGCACACTAGATGGTTTCTGGGAACCCAGAAGAGGCCAGGTCTCTCAGCAGCAAGCCTATTTCAGCAGCCATCACATTAGTCCTAATAAAACACAATGGTGCTCCTAGAGGCCCTGGAACCTGGAAGTCCTCTAAAGGCAGAGGTATTATATCACAAATCTCGGCCTTGTGTGTGTGTGTGTGTGTGTGTGTGTGTGTGTGTAAAATTTGTTAATTATTGCATGTAGGTGGATCAGCATGAATTCATATCTCCGTTCCATAAATACTAGTGTGGCTCACACTGTCGGTTACCTCTACAATAGCCATAACACTTTTTCCTTGCTAAGAGAGCCCTGATTTACTTCAAGAATAGAACAAAGCCAAAAGGTTCAGAGAAGAGAGGCTCAGCTCCAGGTGAGGGACCGTGACTGGTGAATAAAAAACCATGACAGTCTTTCTCTTCTTTACTAGTTGGATGGTCTAGACTCCCACTCACTTTGAGCCAATAGGATAAAAGAGGAAAGTGTGAGAGGCCTCCTGGAACAGTCTTTCTACTTTGAGTAAAAGAGGGAGGGAGACCTCAGAACCCCCTTCTTCCTGAGAAGGGTATTTTCTTGTGATGTTTTGGCCCTTGGGAGCCATATTGCAACCATGAAGGAAGGCCAAGACAATCTTAGAGAAGCCAATCCAGAATCCAGACAGCACTGAACTGGTGAACCAATGCTGGTACTGCCTATCTCTGAGTTCCTTTTTTGTGAGAAAAATAAACCCTCACAGTTGATGCCACGTTTAGTTGAATATTCTGTTACTTTCAGCCCAAAGCATCTTCACTACTACAGGCTCTATTGTAGCCACCAAGGGTACACAGCATTGAACAAGACAGGCAAGGTCCCTCCTCTGGTGGAACTTACATGCTAGTGCAAACAAATGAATATGTTAATTTCAGAAAGATAAATGCTACTTGGAGAATTAAGTTAAAGAGATGTTATAGAGGGTAACTGGAGGTGGGACCTGGTTTAGAAGAGACAGTCAAGAAAAATCTTTTTAAGGAAGTGCAAATTAAGCTGAGTCTTGAAGAAAAAGAAGCAGCCAACAGAGATCAGCAGTTCTAGCACTCCAGGTAACAGGAATGCCAGGAATAAAGGCCTGGAGATGGGAGCAGACTTAGTGTGGTCAAAAAAAAAAAAGCCAACATCACTAGAGCGTAGAAGGAAGAAGAGTGGTATGAGAAGGATAGAGTCGGAGAAGTGGGCAATTTCTGCAGAGCCTTGTGAGCCATGGAAACATATGTCACATTGATGGTGCACAAACACCATCTGGCCACTGTGCAGACTCCATGCTCATTCCCGAGATTGTAGGTTTTACTTTTTCTGCTTTAGGATTTCTGTTTAATTACATAAACACTGAACATAGTACTATGCACTGGGGGAGGATGCAAGATGAATTAAAGACACTGTTCATGCCCTTCAGGGAAAAATGCAAGTCTAGTAGAGGATGTATTTATGATACAGGGTAGTATGTGATAAGGCCTATACTCAGGTAAAGAGGCAGGAGAGATCACAACCACTTAGAGTCTATGGAAGGCTTCGTGAAGGAGCTACTGTTTGAGCTGCACTTTGAGGAATGATTATGATTTGGATATAACCACACTCACATAATAAAGAAAAATTGTAGGGACATTTTACAGCTTCCACTAGGGCATTTTATTGAGTGATTTCTTTTCCCTATTTTGTAAATATCTTTGATTTTTATTACAAATTTACCTGCCACATTAAAACTGTCCTAATTGAACCTGAGACACAAGTATTAGAAATACTATTGAGCTCTTTGACCTAGAAATTCCATTTATATAAATCAATGCCAAATTTTTTGAAAAACCCTCATGTGTGAACTAAGATGCCTATATAAGGATGATTGTTGTATCAATGTTTGTAATAGCAAAATATTAGAAACAGGCCAGGTGTGGTGGCTCAAGCCTGTAACCCTAGCACTCTGGGAGGCTGGTCAAGAGTTCAAGACCAGCCTAAGCAAAAGTGAGAGTCCGGTCTCTACTAAAAATAGAAAAAATTAGCTGGATGTGGTGGCACATGCTTGTAGTCCCAGCTACTCTGGAGGCTGAGGCAGGAGAATCGCTTGAGCCCAGGAGTTTGAGGTTGCTGTGAGCTAGGCTGATGCCACGGCACTCTAGCCCGAGCAATAGAGCGAGACTCTGTCTCAAAAAAAAAAAAATTAGAAACAACCTAAATGTCCTTTCATAAGGGGCTTCTTTATCATCGATCCCTAGACCAGTGCCTTGCACAAAATGGGTCCTCAAAAAACATTTGTTCAGGCCGGGCGCGGTGGCTCACGCCTGTAATCCTAGCTCTCTGGGAGGCCGAGGCGGGCGGATCGTTTGAGCTCAGGAGTTCGAAACCAACCTGAGCAAGAGCGAGACCCCGTCTCTACTATAAATAGAAAGAAATCAATTGGCCAACTAATATATATAGAAAAAATTAGCCGGGCATGGTGGTGCATGCCTGTAGTCCCAGCTACTCGGGAGGCTGAGGCAGGAGGATCACTTGAGCCCAGGAGTTTGAGGTTGCTGTGACCTAGGCTGACGCCACGGCACTCACTCTAGCCTGGGCAACAAAGTGAGACTCTGTCTCAAAAAAAAAAAAAAAAAAAAAAAAAAAAACATTTGTTCAGTGAATGAATGAATAAATGAATACACGATTCATTCAAATGAAAGAATTCTTTTCAGCTGTTAAAAAGAGTGAGGTATATATGTATGTACTTACATGGAAAAAGCTCCAAAAGATATTGATAAAAGCAATTCAGAACAATTATATTTATGAAAAAATAATACCTATGTGCATATACATCCCTACACATGAGCTAATAGTGGGGTTTTCATGGGTGGAAAGTGGAAATGGGGAGCAAGGAGACTTTCACTTTTTATCATCTAAATGCTGAAGACTCTCAAATTTATATTTCTGGCTTCAAACACCAGATGTATATATCCAATTCAGCATCCCCACTGGGCTATCTAATAAGTATCTCAAATTAAGCATGCCCAAAACCTAACTCCTATCTTTTTCTTCACAAATCTACTGTTTCTATAGTTTTCTCCATCTCAGCATTCTTTTCTAATTCTTCAGACCAAAAACCTAGAGTCATCTCTTATGTCTTACACACCTTATATCCAACCCAAAGCAAAGCCTGTTGGTGCTACCTTCAAAATACATCCCAAATCCAACCACTTCTTACCATCTCTACCAATAACACAAGCATCTCTTGTCTAGATTATTTCAATGGCCTCTCAACTGGCCTCTCTGCTTCCACCCTTGTCTTCCTACAGTCTATTTGTAACTTACCAGCCAGTGATTCCAACCAACCCTCTGCCCAGATTTTACTTACAGTGATCTACAAGATCCAATGTATTAGTTATCTCTTGCTGTGTAACAAATTACCCGCAAGTTTAGCATCTTAAAACAACACACATTTATCATCTCATAGTTTGGGGGTCATCCAGACCAGAGTCTCTCACTAGGCTGCCATGAAGTTATTGGTCCAGGATCTCTCACAAGGCTGTGATCAAGATGTCAGGTGGGGCCTCACTCATCTCAAGGTTCAACTGGGGTAGAATCTGCTTCTCAGCTAACTCAGTGGTTATTGGCAGGATTCAGATCCTCACAGGTTGTTGGACTGAAGACCAGTTCCTTGCTGGCTGTTGGTCAGAGACTAGCCTCCGCTCCTTGCCACCTGAGCTTCTCCAGAGGGCAATTTGTAACACCACAATTCATCAAGGCGAGCAAACAAGAGAGAGTGAGTATTGAAAGACTACCACCAAGTGGAGGCCACAGTCTTTGGAAGTGGCATCCTATCAGTTTTATTGGAGTCTCTTCATTAGATCTCGCTCACACCAAAGGAGAAGGAATTACACAAGGGTGTTAATACCAGGAGACAGGATCACTGGAA